CTCACTGCAACCTCAAACTCCTGGGCTCATGCGATCTTCCTGCCTTAGCCTTTCGAGTAGCTGGGGCTACATACACATGCCACCATGCCCATGCCATCACACCCAGTTAAGTTTTCCTATTTGGTAGAGATAGGGGCTTCACTCTTGCTCAGGCTGGTCTTGAACTCCTGACCTCAAGTGATCCTCCCACTTTGGCCACTCAGAGTGCTAGGATTATAGGTGTGAACCACCACTCCTGGCCTTCTTTCATAAAATATAATTGCTTTAAGTTATGTTCAACTCTGAAGTTTGACGTGCATGATTATTCTGTGAGGTACTTGCAGAAAGGTAAATAGGAGAGAGGCCCATGGAAAGAGGCCAGGATACTTCACTGCTGTCAAGGGAGTCCTCAAGGAAGTGGCAGACTGTCCAAGAGGCACGGCTGTCTATGCCATCCATCTGTGAGTTTCAGGAGGGGAGCATGAAGAGAATACTAAAGAGGGTTAAGAAACAAGTGAAACAGCATCCAAATGAGTAACGGAAATGAAACAAACCCCACCTCTTTGATAAGTACAAGTGAAAAAAGAAACTGTTAAGGTGCAAGAGTAAACAGGTTGGGGCAGGGTTTCTCATCTTTAGCACTAATGCCATTTGGACCTGATCATTCTGTGTTGCTTGAGTGGGGTGAGGGTACTATCTTGAGCACTGTGGGATGTTTAGTACCGATCCAAGATTATATGTACCGAGTACCAAGATTATGTGATCTCAGAGTGGGAAAGATTTGTGAAGTAAAAAATACTGGAAGAAAACAAAAATGGAAAAGACCAATAGCTTTACATAGGATCAATATCTACATTGCATAAGGTGCTCTTTTGTGAATACTCCAGTAAGAAAATGGACAATGGACACACAATAAGCTACCATATTTACCCAGGTGAAAATATACCATGATGACTTGGGCACATTGAAGAAGCACAGCCACATACTCTCATATGGAGCTGTAGGAAAATTGATAACAATTACAACAGTAAGTTATTGATTATGTGCCATGCTTATGTGTTAAGTAGCTTTATGCATTTTACTTAGAGCCACTTATTTACTTTTTAGTACATCAAGTGGAAACACTGTACCAATTTTGTAGCTGAGGTACAATCAGATCAAGTTATTTGGCCATATCTCATGGGTTGTAAGTGGCAGCGGGGTTGGGTTGCCCATTAGGCACAGTGAGCACAGTGCCTCAGGGTAGCAACACTTTTAGGAACCCACAAAAATGTTTTGATTGCTTTATAAAATCAGAAGGCAAAAAAAAAATGAATGTTTAGGTTAAAGAAAATGCTTTGATGTATAAAGTTAATATATTTGTCTTTATACCAATACCATTATAAAATATCATTTGTAATATTATTTTATGGAGGAAGAAGCCCACAACGGTAAAAGTGCCTAGGGCCTGTGAAAGTCAGAATGTGGCCCTGGGTGGCAGAGCTGTGTTTTAATCCCAAGCAATGCGACACCTGAGACTATGTTCTTTCTGGAAGGCAACTTGCCAATGTGTTTTAAAAGGGCCAGAGTTGTTCATACCCTTTGATTCCTTTTAGGTATTTAACCTAAATAAGGACATGGACAATGATTCATGAAAAGGTATTTATTTGTAATAGTGTTCACTTGAACCCAAAGAAATAGTCAAAACAAAAGGCTGGCTCAATACTGGGTGTCAAGGGAGGGACTAGGTGAGTACTAGCAGCTTCTCTGCAGAGCTGAGCTGAGGGGGAAACTGAGCAATCTGGGAGCTGAAAGTGAGACACAAGAATAGATCAGGAAGGGGAAGGAGGCAGCATACAGGGTGGAGAAGGACAGGAGTGCTGGCCCCTGCTGAGGATATTGTGACATTACTGGGGGGGGGTGTTTGTAAGCACGTTGTTGCATTTATTTAAAGGGACCGAACAGCAAAAAGGTGAAGAAAAATTGAAACTGTGCATGTTGAAAGCACAGAGATGAGTGAGCACACACAGGAAGCTGTGAAGAGTTTTTCAAAACAGGAGAGACAGAGCGTGTGAGCATGAAAGGAACCTTGAACTTCATGTTAATCTTTGTCACAAAAGCTCTGAAGAGCCACTAAAGGATTTTAAGTAGTGGAGTGACATGCTCAGATGTATATTTTAGAATGATCTTTGTGCATATAATGTGCACCAAATTCAGGTGTGAAGTTAGAAGGGAAGAACCAATGTACCAGAGTGGAAGGGAAGGTGCATTTGTTCAGTTAAGACAGAATTACTGAATCCTACAAAATACTCATGGAGTGTCAGTGCTGTTTTGGTACACAATTCTCTCAGATAGCTTAGTTATGATGGAAAGAGAGTGAGAAGTAGGAAAGAACTTTAAAATCAAGGGAAAATTTAGGACAGAAAAATCTTAAAATGTGATTATGCTGAGGAGTTGTAGCCATTAGAGAGAGTGAAGTTGAAAATATGCCAAGGAGGGGTCTTAGGAGGGAACTGACAGTGAAGAAGGCCGCTTTGGAGGGAGCAGGGACGTCTAGCCACTGAAACAGCAGCAAAACTAGTAACTTTGGGTGTGCATGTAGGTATAATTTATGGGAGTTTGGTGAGGTGGTTGGGCAAAACTTGTAGAAATGCACGCCTTTATCTCTTTGAAGTAGAAGACTGGGTTGTCTGGCAGGTAACGTGGTCACCACTGACTCTATTTGAAGGGTGATCTTTCTTCTGAGAGCAAAACGCATAACCAGCAGCGCTTTTCCAGACCAGTTAATTCTTGTAACATGGAGATAATAGACACAATCCTATGGGGCTATTGTGTGTGGGTTAATTGCGCTGACGTGTACTTGCTCACTACGTATTAGCTTTAATATTGGGCTGATGTAGAGGCTGGGGGAGTGAATGTTTTGCAAATAACTATTAATAATAAAAATGACTAAAGTCTTTATGTATGACCATCAGCTAAATGCAATTATTTACTCTCGCAGTGGGTCCTAAGTCAAACACTCAGGTCAAGGAGTATGTATCAACAGCCTACTTTTGCTGCAAAGCTTTCTAGAGAATGCCAGTGCCCCGAGCACCCGAGGAGCGAGTGCAGGGGGTTTGGCCACCGACCGGAAAGTCAAGTCAGCAGCCCCCAGCGCGAGTTTAGAGTAGCCCCTCCCACATCTACTGGCGCCACGCCCTTCCACGGTTGGGCCCCGCCCCGTCTCTATTGGCCGGCCCTCCCCTCCACTCGAACGCCCCGAAGACCCGGCGGAGCGGAGTTTTCCGCACGCAGCACCGGAGTGCCCTCGCTGCGATGCTCGCAGAGGCCATTCGGGTCCGAGGTTGGGACTTTGGGCGGCCGCGGCGCAGCCGCGGGGCCGGGGCCGGAGGAGGCGCGCGCTGAGGCGCGGCGCCGGGAGACGAGCACGCGGCGCGCACCCGCGGAAGGAGGCGTGGGTCGGCTGGGAGGCGCGAGCGGGGGCGGGGAGAGCCGGTGTCGGCGAGCGCGGCGTGCGGCTCCGAGCGGCTGCGGGCGGCCTGGCTTCCGGGCCAGCGCTGGGTGGCTGCGCTGCCGCGCCCGCTGCGAGATGCGATCTTGGCGCGGATGGGTGAGGGCGCCCGCCGCAGGAGAGGTGCCGCTGCCGTGCCGCCCGGCTGCCGGGAGCCGACCGGTCGCCGGGTAAGGACGCCGCGGCGCGGGCAGGGCGCGGGCGGGGCGCGCCGGAGCCTCGCCCGGCGCGGAGCCGGCGCCGTCCGGCGAGGTCCTCGCAAGGCCGTCGGGGCCGGTCCGCGCAGCGCAGGCCGCCGCCTCCAGCCCGAAGGCCGGGAGTTTTCTGGGGTGGGGTCACGGGTCTTGCCCCGCGGGGCCCCGGCACAGGCCCGTGCAGACGACGCTGGAGGGGAGCGAAGTGTCTCCGTGACTCTGCAGACGCGGCTCTCAGCTCCCCGGTCCTCTGCGCCGCCTTTCTACCTCTCCGCCCTCCCAGCGCCTCCCTCGAACACGGAGACGGGTCTCCTCTGCCCTGACTCTCACCCCGTCGCCCGTCCCGGTCCGAGGACGCCAGCCTTCGGATGTCTTTTTCCGACGCGTTTTTGTCACTCCCGGTTCTTCACTGACTCTGCAGCTCCCCCAACGCAACCCCCACCTCCACCTTTGTGACCTGGTAGGTCCCAGTGACCTTGCAGATTTTACCAGTCCTCGGATCTAACTTGTGACTCGCACCCTCTCCTGCCATCCTTTTTCTGTTTCTTTTTGTATTTAGATTTTGTAGTTGTCCCTGCCTGTTACAGCCTTTAAGTGATCAGTTTTGCTCACAGTCCGTTCTCTGGTCTATGGACCTGGAATACTTTTTGCTCTGGTAATTATATGAAACCTCCATTAACCAACGAAGAGGCGTGTCTGTTGTAATGTTGACATTTTCACTCTTCGACAATAACATATTTCCCAGAGGCTTGATTTAGTTTCCTTTTTCTATTTCATAACTTTTTATCATTTTGTGTAGGTAATGTGCAACAAGAGTTGAGTTTCTGCTTTAAAATGTTACTGGTAATGTCCGGTTTCAGTCTGAAACGTTGGTTCTTAGCGTGCTCTTGGCGGAAGAATGACCGGACACCTGAAAGTTAGGCAAACATGAAAATGAAGTTTATTGGGGAAAGTTAGGATTATCCGGCAAGAGCAAGATACAGGTTTACAGATAATAATACATATGCCACAGATGACAGCCAAACCCACTGTTGCAGCAAAGTGAGAGCCAACGGAAAGGTTCAAAAAGAGAGCTTGCTTATGTTCTGTATCTTGTTTTATAGAGCCCAGATTGGGACCTCTCTCATAGTTCAAAGGTCACTGTAGCACCACTTTCATTGGACAATTAGGAGTCACATGACCTCAGCCTTAAGTAGATATGCAGGTTGTTCTAGGTCAATTTCTGGACTCTGTGGTACCTCTCTTCCTTGGCCCCATGAGCTAGAGAGTCCTCTGCATTGTTTTGCAGCTGGTTGCCAAGTTCTGATTGGCAGAATGGTAGGGGGGTATTCCCTCCTCCCCCAAGTGTGGAGAATTAGGATGGGGCAGGACCAAGATGGGGGCAACAGCAGCTACTTTCATCCCTAGGAGATCTGGGATCCCTCACTATCTGCGTAAGAGTAGTGGAGAAAATAATGTTCGTGGTAATCTTTGTTTCCCCTGTTTGGTGATTTTTAACTGAAATACGTGGTTTACAGTTGTCTGCAGTTTTCTACAAGAGTGCATGCTTATGTATAAGCCCACTTTACCTGTCTCACCAAAACTGGGCTTTGGGAAAACTATTTTGGAAGGTAAAGCTTGGACAGCTTACTAGTTTCCCCAAATGTAGATTCTGAGTTTGAGCCTGCTAGAGGGAAAGCTGAGTCTAAAGTGCAAATGACAGCACATTTGGCTTATTACACAGATGGGAGTAGCCAGCACTATTCTTGGTTAGAAAAGAGAAAATTTGGGGTCTCTGCAGTTTGACTTAGTATGCTACCACATGGGGCAGAAATGACTTACTCTACTTGAGGGCAGTGGGGACTAAGAAAGTGCAGGACCCAAGAGCCACATTACTCGGAAGCAGTGATTTACCCAGTCTCATGAATTGGATCAGACAGCACCCCCTGCAGATAATGGGCCCCAGGTGAGCAGTGATCTACCTCCCCAGCACTAGGGGATTGGATATGAGACCTGGGGGGGTGGGGGGAGGGCAGAGCTTCTTGGCTAGTCACTCTGTCCTTGACCAGCCTTGAGCAGCCTGTGCCTCACAAATAATTTGTTTGCAGTGTCTTGGAAAAGGTTGGAATAAGCCACTTTTCCTTGCCAGTTACCATGAAATGAATAATTACCTTGTAAAGATGATAATTTCCCTATATATTTTATTCTGTCCTTATTTTCTTTTCTGCTTACCAGAGCAATCCATACTTTTTGAAAAATGTCACTTCAAAATTTTAACAAGTGGCTTCCAGTTGTCTGTGTTAAGAGATTCTTTAGACATGTCATCATGTGTCAAGGAGTTCTGTCACTCCCATCTCTTACTCCATTTCCCAAATGACCATTAGTCTTCATCACAAAAGCCACGCTCTTCTTCCCTTCCTCCTAAACAGTAAGTGACTTTTTACATTTTAGTGTATTATTACACACTCTGTTTTCATTTACCCTGTATGTTCACAACTAATTTATCTTGTTTGAAGGATCCTTGAAAGGTGGGGAAAAGAGAGCTCTGTGAATACATAGGCTTGGGAAATGCAATAGATAATGTATCCCATTGTAGACAATGTGCATGGTCAAGTCTCTGAGAAGTCCTTTGGTAATTAAAGCTGCTTAACTTTAATCCAGCATTTAACTAACAATTGATTGGACAATGGCTTCCTTTATTAAGGTGATTAATACCTTTAACAACCTAAAAAACTAGTATTCTTTGGAACATTATTTGGGAAATTCTGATTTATAACATTAATTATTTGAAAAGTATTATAAAACTTATTGCACTATTTTATAAATATTCAATATATATTTTTAACTGGAAGAAATTATAGTTTTTGAATTTACATGTTATTTTAAAACTTAATAGCTTGACAGTATTTTCTCTCTCCTTAATATATTTCCCATTTTAAATTTTTTTCTATTTTGATGGCAGTGATCCCAGGAACTGTCTTGCTACAGCTGTAACTTGTATGGTAAGTACATAAACTACTGACAGAAAATTCACCAGTGAGAATAATAAATGGCATTATTATGTCAAGAAAAGTATTTCGATGAGAAAATATGAACTAAGAAAAGTGAATTATTATAGGTAGAAAGGTCATTGTTTTCCATTATTATAAGGCTAGAAAAATATCACAGAAGAAAGATTTGTAATCAGAAAAGGATTTATACTAACAAAGTAAAAGGGACCTCAAAGGCCATTTGATAAAATGTCACACCAACTGCAAAAATAAGGAAGAACTCATGACTTTGAGGCTGATTAAATTTTCATCTATCTCCAAGTATTAGAAATAACTTTTCCTAGCACAGTAAAACATGTTCTCATAGAATTCCAATCTACTGGTTCTATTTCTGCAAGATATAAGTTATTTTTTTAAAATGAATAGTTGGCAACGTGTTTTTTTTTAATTACTATAAAGTATCTTTTCAAAATATTGGAAGTAATTTTTCTATTTTCCATAAAGGAAATTTCTTGGTGTAAGAGTGCTCCAAAGGCCACATGGAGTGGAATTACAGAACATATTGGAAATGACAAGAAAATTTAGGACATCAAAAACAGCCTTTTTGATCAGAAGTGGTGGCTGACACCTATAATCCTAGCACTCTGGGAGGCCAAGGTGGGAGGATTGCTTGAGATCAGGGGGTCAAGACCAGCAAAACCCTGTCTTTACTAAAAATATAAAAAAAATTAGCTGGGCATGGTGGCACATGCCCATAGTCCCAGCTACTCTGAAGGCTGAGGCAGAAGGATCGCTTGAGCCCAGGAGTTTGAGGTTGCTGTGAGCTAGGCTGATGCCAAGGCACTCTAGCTTGAGTGACAGAGGGAGACTTTTGAAGTAAAACAATCCCTGACATACAGTGTTTTCAGTGGTTTAAAAGTATATGCATTCAACGTAAACCCTACTTCAAATTTTGAATTTTGAACTTTTCTGGGCTGGCTATCTGGTATGATACCCTTTTGTGATGTGATGCCGGGCAGGAGCAGTGAGCTGCAGCTCCCGGTCAGCTACTCCATGATGAGGGTAAACAACTAGTGCTCTACAGCTCACTCTGTTGCCAGTATTTTTGGATAGTTTATTTTGTGTTTTTTATATCCCATCATGTCTACAAAATGCTCTTCCATGTATAGTATTCAACACTTTATTATAAAATAGGCTTTGTGTTAGGTGATTTTGCACAACTGTGGGCTAATGTAAGTGTTCTGAGCCCGTGTAACGTAGTTTAGGCTAAGCTATGATGTTTGGTAGGTTAAGTCTATTAAAGACATTTTCAACTTAAGCTATTTTCAGCTTACAAAGAGTCTGTTGGAATGTAGCCCCATTTTAAGTTGAGAAGCATCTGTATAATGGAAATTTATGTTGGATTTTTTTGGTAAAGGTTTTTAGTAGAAAGCAAAGAGTTCATGACTAACATGTCAAAAGCACAGGCAACAAAAATAGACAAATGGTACATAATTAAACTAAAAAGCTTCTGCACAGTGAACAAAATAATCAACAAAGTGAATAGACAACCTGCAGAATTTTAGAGAAATATTTGCAACGTATGTATCCAACAGGTGAGTAATTTATACGAATTACTATTACAGAATTTATAAGGAACTCAAACAACAAGAACAGCAAATTCCATTAAAAAATGGGCTAAGGGGCCGGGTGCAGTAGTTCACGCCTATAATCCTAGCACTCTGGGAGGCTGAGGCGGGCAGATCGTTCGAGGTCAGGAGTTTGAAACCAGCCTGAGCAAGAGTGAGACCCCGTCTCTACTATAAATAGAAAGAAATTAATTGGACAACTAAAAATATATAGAAAAAAAAATTTAGCCGGGCATGGTGGTGCATGCCTGTAGTCCCAGCTACTTGGGAAGCTGAGGCAGGAGGATCGCCTGAGCCCAGGAGTTTGAAGTTGTTGTGAGCTAGGCTGACACCACTGCGCTCTAGCCTGGGCAACAGAGCGAGACTCTGTCTCAAAAAACAAACAAACAAACAAACATAACCTGCATCTCTATATTTATTGCTACACTATTCACAAAGGCAGAGATATAAAATCAACCTAAATGCCTACCAATGAATGATTGGATAAGTAAAATGTCTGTGTATGTGTGTGTGTGTGTGTGTACACAAATACACAGTGGAATACTATTCAGTTATAAAAAAGAATGAAATTGACTTTTGCAGCAACATGGATGGATCTGGAGGTCATTATCTTAGGTGAAACAACTCAGACATAGTGCATGTTCTCACGTATAAGTGGGAGCCAAGTAATGTGTACATATGGACATAGAGTGTGAAATGATAGATAATGGAGAGTTGGAAGGTTGGAGTTTGGTGGAATGATGAGAAATTACTTAATGGGTACAATGTATGTTATTTGTGATGGATACCCTAATAGACCTAACTTCATCAGTATGCAATGTATGCATGTAACAAATTTATGCTTGTATCCCATAAATTTACACAAATTTAACAAAAGATATTTAGTGGAAATTTTTGACAAATGAGATATTTAAAAGCTAGTAGAAATAATATGGGCAACATTTTAATTTCTGGAGTTTATTGCAAATTGAAATTTTTATTAATCTCTGCCAACTTTACATTTCAGATTCTTTGTGACTATCTATTGCTTCACATGGAAGCAGCTTTTCAAAATTGAAGATTAATAGAAATTGTTTTGTCAACTATGAGTAGAGATTGACAAATCTGGCTATTTAGACAATTGACATTAATATGAGAAGATTGATTTCGATGAAGTTGTTAACAAATTTGCAGAAGTTAAGCTCAAAACCAGAAACTATAATGTTATTATTTAATACGACAACAGACCCATATACAGGACTAATTTCCCCTTCTCCCCCTAAAATACATGCATATAATTGAAAAGTATTAATCTATTACTCTTTTCTTTTTTATAGTGTATTACTTAATTTGTTAATATCGACAAAATTCAATAAAAAAAATTATGCTACCTGTGTTTCTTTTCTGGTTATTATTATTTGTGTCTTATTTCACAAATAAATATTTGAAGAGGGAAAGGATTTTAGAACAATGGGTCAAATACCCCAAATACAACCTTGCCAAAGGCTATATGCTCCAGGGGTCAAATACCCCAAGCACAACCTTGCCACAGGCTATATGTAGGCCGTCCTCTGACAGCATTTCCAGAAGCTTAGAAAAAGTCCTTCGTTCCTGAAGCAGATAATAGTGGTATATCCCAGTGTCTCCTACACAGCGGCACTAGGTATTCAATAGTGAATGAATGCTTAATCAAAGTACAGAATATCTACATGGTAGGATGCTGGTCAGCCATTTAAAATCATCTTTTAGATAAATAATTTTGTCATGGGAAAAGAATGCTATACTGCCCAATATACACCGTGATACCTTCAGTGAATAATATACATACAGAAAAGAATGATATTCACATATATTTATAAATTAGTTATTTTTTAATGATTAGCTTTTTGTGTTTTCAAAAATTTTGCACTAGGCATGTATTACCTGTAAAATTGGGGAAAAACACAAAACTAAACACAACAAAAGGTGTGGTAAAGCAACTCCTCTGCAATAATAAATTCATAATGTTTTGCCTGATCAAGCCTTTCAAAGGCTGCCAATCTCAAAAAGATCTCTCTCTCTCTCTCTCTCTCTCTCTCTCTCTCTCTCTCTCTCTCTCTCTCAAGTAATAGCAGTGAATATGAATCTTTGGGTACATCTTTGGTTTAAATTTTAATGACTTATAAATTTGAATGTCTAAAAGCCATATTTTCAAATTGTGGTTTGTAGTTCGTTTATTTGCATTGGGTGCTTATTCAAATGCAGACTCTTGGCCCTTGCCAGGCTTAATGAATCTGAAATTTTGGGAATGGTGTTCCAAAATTTGCATTTTTAACTAGCTCTCTGGGTTATTTTTATGCACATTAAAGTTTGAGAACTATTGACATTGGCTGGGCTCAAGGGTGAGAAAAATGAAAATATGCATATCAAACTAAAATCTGGATTTTATTTATTTGACTCCATGTCTGAGCTGTTTTTGTGGCAGGTGGTTATATACTCAATATTTATTAAGGCACAAGCAGGGATAAATCAGTGATGCAATTTTAATAACCTGAGACCCTTTTTCTTTTTAACCCCAGAAATTTACTACTTCATTAAAGCACCCAGCCTGTATTTGGAAATTATTAACCAAGAAGCAAAAAAAGAAAATAACAACAAAAACCCACAACAAAATAGTATTTCAGAAATAACACTTCATATAATGGAGGAATAAAATCTGGATTTAAATATTCTCTGGGATTCCTGAAGCCAAATGACACCTGACAAATCTGGACACCAGAAGAGTTGATATTAGGTCTCCAAAGCTTTCACAGGTAGCTACAGCTTGGCCACTCTATTCTCTTGGGCAATAGGACTGTGTCTTACATTCTGAGACTTAACATTTGGAAGGAAATGGTGACCTCAATTTCAATCTATAGCAGTTTTCTCCAAAATGTGGGAAAGAAAAAATTGATGATGGACCAATAGTTGGAGAGAAAAGTATTGTGAAGGGTGCAGCTGATGGTGTTCTACGAAGAGAAAGCTACTTCCCTGGAGAGAAAGGGGGAATTATAGATACGTGAGTACGCTCTTGTATAGATTGTGGAAATGCATAGAAACCACAAGTCAAACTCTAACCAAGGTTCCTTTCCCTGTTAATTTTTTAAAGTCTTATTTGTCTTAAACATTGCAGCAGGGATATCCAGAGGATGTTTCAGTAAATAGTTAAAAGTTGATTCCTTTAAGTTAGAAGTCAGTTTTGAAAGTTTTACAAAAACTGCAAAAATTCTTCAAATGAAAGTGAAGAGTTGATTTTTTTATTAAAATGCTTGTTTGAAAATAGTTTGTCTAGATATTCAAGTGTTGCTTTTTATAATAATTGTATTGAACATTTGATTTCTATGACAGCCATGAGAATTGTGTCTTGCAAACCCTTATTACAGGGAGCACAGTTGATTGGGGTCCCCACCCCTGAGCTTTGAAATCCATCCTTGAGTTTGCACAGAGGCCACACTACCTGTGACCATCTCCTCACCAGATGACTGAATGTTCCTGAGAGACAGAGGACTCCATTCTCAGCTGACTGGCTCAAGGACTCCCCAATGGCTTTCTGCATGGCACCCCAGGACACTTTGTTCCAGTGCTCTTCATTGGCTCTCCTAGCCTTTCCTATTCTTATTTTCTTTCACATGGGCATTTCATCTAATAAAAGTCCATGTACATTCAGTCTTATCTTGGCAACTATGTCTTGGAGGGCACAGAGTAACACTATCTCTTTGGTAGCATCTTCTCTCAGAATTGTATTCTGATTGGAGATTACAGTAGTTGAATTTGAGATGCAGGAATAGAAATGCATTTTTTTTTTTCAGAGAAGAATAGAGAAGTGGAATCTCCACTGTAGAAATGGAAAGTTTAACAGTGTCCAACTGTGCTGAGATGCCACTGGTATTTATTTAGTTTCTTTGTATTTCCACTCTCCTCTCAAACATCTTGGATGATGTGATCCTATTTTTCATTTTTATTTCTCTATCACCTAGCAACTGCACATTTCCTTGCAAGATGTTTTATTTGAAATTACATGGGTTTATAGTTACTTTAGACCTTTAAAAAGTTTATAAAGTGAGGGGGAAGTCCCTAAGGAAATGCAATGGGAATCTAAAAGACTTATGGCAAAATCAAGGAAGTTGATCACAAGGTATAGATACACATATATTTTAAAGCTATATAAACACAGAGATGAATATGTCAATTCTCATTCAGTCAGATAATAGTCTTAATGTCATCTGGGCTACAGACCTAATTCAATTAAAAACTGTATAGAGATCTTCCTTTGTTTTCAATACTCGGTTGGACAGAAAGATTTATCAGTACTCGGTTGGACAGAAAGATTTATCAGTACTCGGTTGGACAGAAAGATTTATCAGTACTCGGTTGGACAGAAAGATTTAGGTCCTGAAGAGGCCAAGAGGCTTCTTATCTAGTTACGATTATAGTTGACCACATGAAAGAAAAAGTCACAGAAGACCAGGCTTGGAAGGATCTGAACATTCAAGTCCAGTCACCTTGTGCTTTAATACCCTTTTCCTCAGCAAGGCCAAGTGATACCAAGGCTCCACTTGAACAGGTCCAGTGACAGAGAGCCTGCAACCTCCTAAACATAATGTCCCTCTCTTGATCTATCTTTGACTTTCAGAATTCCTCTTTATACTGAAATTTCATTTTTCAGTCCTCATTCTATTCTGGTGGAAGCCAGCCCCCAAGCTGGCTCCCCCAGTCCCCACCTCCTGGTAGTCACACCATTGTGTACTTTGCTTCCACTTTATACCAGAGGTGAGCAAAAGTGATGGAAGTTGCCACTTCTGAGATTAAACAAGGAGAGACTGAAGCTTCTGTTTTGGTCACTCTCCTGCTCACCCATTCCTGCACGCTTACACTCCTTTCTGGCTGCGGGGGAAGCCAGCTGTCATGCCTTGAGGACACTCAGGCAGCCTGTGGAGAAGCCCACGTGGTGGGGAGTGCAGGCCTTCTGCCAACAGCCAGCAGGGAACTGGGGCCTGCTAACAGTCCCATGCGTGAGCCTGCAAGGGGATTCAGTTTCAGTCAAGCCTCATGAGGACTGTAGCCTCATCACATAGCTTGGCTCCAACATCCTGAGATCCTGAGCCAGATCTACCCTCCTGGATCCTTACGCTTCAGACGATGTGAGAAAATAAATCCTTGTTGTTCTAAAACTGCTAAATTTGAGGGAACTTTGTTCTGCAGCAATAGGTAGCTAATACAACCCATTAAAATCATTCACTTATTAAAGCTTTTATTGAGCATTTACAATATTTCAGCTACTGATCTGCACATGAATTGAGTCTTCACAATAACCCAATGGCATTTGTGTTATTATTATTTTGTCTTCACTAATAAGAAAACTGGGGGGGTGGGCAGGAAGGTTAAGTAACTTCCCTAAGGCCACAGAGCTTGTAGGTGGTGTTGCCAGGACTCGAATCTGGGAAGTCTGCTTTTACAGCCAAGTTCTCAGGAGGTTGCCACCAAGCAGAAGGCCAGCGCTGCAGTTTGGGGTGGAAAGTCTGTTCCCAAGCTCATCCCACAGTTGTCAGCCAGCCTCAGTTCTTTGCTTTCTGTCAGCTAGAGGGAACTATTCCTCACCATAGGAACTTATTTCAGTAGTGATTTTAAAAATGAGATCACACTAAATAGGTTTTTTCCCTTTCAGCAACATATTGTGACTATTTTTCCATGTAACTGAATGTATTTCTAGCTATCATTCTTTTTTAAGGCTTTTGGTGCAAATTTCCAACTTGAAAAGGCAGAAATTCTTTAGGCAAATCTGCTAAAATGTAACAAAATATTCTGCTACTTTATCTTTTTTAATGGATACACTAAAATAAGGAAAATTCATTCACTGCCATGGCTGGTGACTTCTTTGAGTCACTACTATGAACAGGGAAATTTGTGTTTTTACTTGACAGCAAAAGTTTCATCTATTACTTATTACTATATACTAATATTTATTTTCTTTTTTGTAGTTATAAGACAAATAACTGTATAACTTATAATTCTACAAAAGCTGAATGCTCTTTGGTGCTAAATGTAAATATATGCAAGGTAATGTGAATTATTCACTGGTGTAGTGATGGAAAAATTTTCAGTAATTGACAAATTATTACTGACTTGTATGAATTATTACAGTCCTATATTTGTAAGGGGTTGTGATAGTGAGAAATAGCCTGGCAAAGGTGGCTGGAAAGTTCCTTCCCTCTCTGAGTTTCACACAAAGACATCCTGCTTCCAGACTCACTGTTATTTGTTTATAGGAAGACAGCTTGAGGGTAGCGTTGCACTGTTGGTTCCACACATCACAGTGTATGTGAAATCGGCTTAAAAGGGCCCCATGCTAGTTGTCATTACAAACACAAATCCTACACCTTGGGGAAAAGCAAGTGAATAAGATGAACACCTTCAAATTGATGTTTAAGGCAGGAGACCTCTGTAGAGAAAATTACTCCCAATAGGGGGGCTTTAAAGAGAACTAAAACTTGAAAAACAACAAGAGTGCAGCTATTCCAAGAGGAACTAATTCTAAATGAAGCACATTCTTCATGTTACCTGTTAAAGTGTCCTTTGTATCTTTTTAGTTTTAAGATATAGAATGATATAGTATTATAGGGATTCCAACATATCACTCCTTAAGTAACCCCTAATTACTTGTTTGGCCTTATTTTACTGATGTATACTAAAAACTGACAATAGACTAGAATATAAAATGTTTATATATATTTTTTCCTGTTTCCCACCAATATTGTTCATGTAAAAGAGAAATGAGTTTTCCCTAAATGATAGTTTAAGTCTTTAATGAGTTTTTGATTTGGCATAATTCCTTAAGTCTTTTCAGTAAAATACTCTTTAGGGATTGGATTATAACTTGTGAAGTGTATCTTTCACTAATCAAGTTACTTAACTAAATCAATTTATGAAATATAAACAGGGAGTTATTCTAGGAAGTTTTTCTATGGGTTCAGAATGTCTATTGCACAGGACACATTCCAGGATTTAAGTCTATGTGCCTTCCTAACTCTGCTTTTTAAAAACTGGGTGTAAGATGGAATCTGGCACTGATTGGAGCAATGTATTACATATTGTCATGAATATTACTTCTGACAATCTAGTAAGAATTTGTGACTTGGAGAATAATGGCAGTTGGGGTAAAATTTTTTGTTTAGGAGCTGGACGTCTAATCTCATTACTCTTCATAATACACTATATCACAGAAAACCAAGTGCTAGACACCTATTTCCATTTTTTCAGTTGATTTAAGTGTTACCAAAAGCTATTTATAGGCACTAAACATATTGATATAAAAATAAAAGTTCATTTAAAACTGGTCTTAAGTCTAGAGCTCATTTTAAAATTTTTTATCGCTTTAATTAGATTACAACATATAATTTAAATAACTATAAATAGTTAATTAATGTAGGAATAGCATGTGGTCCCTAACAATGCTTGAGCAGTCTCCCATATAATGAAGCAATTGTGTACAATAAAAGAGAAATACACACAGGAGACTTTATGTGATAGCATATTATTCTACACACTAGGAATTATTTTTTCTCAGAGATTAGTTAGGTTAAGAGAATATACTTGGGATCATTTTAACAGTTCAAAGCTTGGTAAAAATCCTTGAAAGTAAAAATTTCAAATGCATAAATAGTTAAATTTTATTTCCAGACACAGAATTTATATTTACCAACAACACTTCCTGTTAATAGTTGGTGTTTTCCAAAAGGGAATGAATTAGTAGTTTTAGTCAGGTTTTCATTATTAAAGGGCTTTAAAATCAGTGACTGTATTAGGCAATGTTCAAGAAACATGGTTAGGCTGAGGGGAAGATTGGTGACAAAGCTTTGTCTGCTGTGCAGCTAGTTGTAGCCAGAACAGGAGAGGTTTCTCCATCCTACTCTGAAGTAGCTTGCTGCTGGGAGAAGCCAGACATGCAGAGGGATTGCCTGCCTGGTGGAAGTACCTGATGCTTCCACTGCTGCTTGGGTTTAGCATTTATAATAGATGCTTCCTGTTTGCTGGGTGACGCTTATTCAAACAACACTTATACTCAGGCTTTCTGAGGAGCAGACACGATATTTTGAGCAGCACCTTAACCTTTGACCTCTGTTTCCATTTTTTCCTCTTCCATTCTGCTTCTACTGGCCTAATCACATCGCTACTTCCTCCCTATTTGGCAAGTTGGTTCAGAAGGTTGGGACATAAAAGCACAAATTGTTCATCTGCTTAAAACCAACCTCCTCTCTTTGTTTCCTGGTAGTTGGAGAATTCCAAGGGTTCTTTACTAAGGAAAGTCTTATATTTGGTAGTTACGCTCCCTTTGCAGGGTAGGCTAATTTTCTCTTAGCTCTACCCAAGCCATATCTGGAATTTTCTTTCATAATATAGTTGTGGTAAAATCCATGACTAATTTACTCACCACAGACGTTTCCTGTTAAACTAAACTACTAGTTAGATAAAATTGAAGGGAAATGACACACATTGAAGGAGGATTGATCTGGAAATTAGGAGATTTGGCTTTCAGTTCAGATTTTAAAATATGCTAGGTATGTGATCTGGACTTGCTTGGCCTTAATTGGATTTCATTTCCCTCATATCATTTATATATATATATGTATATTTGTATATGTGTGTAGTTGATCAGTATCAATGATAGCTAATATAAGTATATAATCAATATATAAAATAGCCATCAAAATATTTATATTAATAAAATATTGTATTATACATATATGTATATATACATACATATATATGTATGAATACAAGAGCAAAATATATAGGAAATATAAGATTATTATATATACTTTTAAAAACACATTTTATCCTTGATTTGCTTAGGGTGTTCTGCTGGGTTCTAGACATTTGTTACTGGCCTGAGCTTTTCATCTCAGATGAATTACCCAGAGGGTGAGAGCCAAGAATGCCAGACACAGACTAGTGTCGACTTTTTAGTTAATGCAATAGGGTGAAGTGGTGTTATACTTTAAATAATATACACTCTTAGAATATATATTAATATAAATGTGTATGTGGGGGGGTGTTGTGTGTATATAGAGAGAGAGGGGGGAAGAGAGAGACCTTATGCTATCCTGATATGAGCTCAGCCATGGAGCCATAAAAGTCTTTTAGCGGGACAATATCCTTCACCGAATCGTATAAGTTTACATATTCACTGCCTCAGTTTAAAGATGACAAAAGTGAAGCCCAGGCTCTTGCCTTCTAGTTCAGTCTGCTTTCGCCATGTCAAGTTGCACCTGCAGATGAGCAGTCCCTGAGGATGAAGGGTTCCCACCCTGGCGGCATTCAGCAGGTTTTCTACCCAACAAAGACCCCGCCCCGCGGGGGGGGGGGTTGTTTCGGAGTGTCCCGCCCCTCCCCGCTGCGCTGGGCATAAAGGGGCGCCGGGCGGGGCGCGGGTTGCCACCTGCAGGCTGCGCGCATGGGGTGCAGCGCCAGCAGGAAGGTGGTCCCGGAGCCGCCCGCGAGGGCCGGGCTCCAACACCAGGGCCAAAGCCCAGGCAGCGCCCGAGGCTCGGGGCCCGGGCCGGAGGCGGCGGTCCAGGTGGCGCGGAGCATGCAGGTGGTGGCTCCGTTCCGAGCCAAGTTCGATCCCCGGGTCCTGGCCAGGTAAAGCGCCGCGCTTGGGCGGGCGTGGGGAGGGTTGAGAAAGACAAACCGCGGACCCAGACAGCTTTAACGCTCCCTCCAGCGGGACTGAACTTTGACAGGTTTCTTTTGGGGTTACAGGCCACTGATCTCCCTAATTCTTTCCCTGCCCCTTTGAGATGTAAAGCTTCTCTAGCTCAAGAATGTGTTTTTTCTGGGATCTGGAGCTATCCCTTTGAAATGTGATGAAGAGCTTTAGAGCAGCTATTCCCCAGTCCCTGTGGGAGGGGGCAGCCTGACTTCCACTTCTATAAGGCCAGTTGGCAAAGGCAGGTGGCCTAATCCCAGAGCTCTTCTCTCTCCCCTATTGCAGCAGTCTTGACCTCTATTGTCATATTGCCATTGAGTCTGGGGTAAAGTCTGCCTTGTGCTGTTTTTTGTTGTTGTTATTGTTTGTTTTTTGTTTGTTTTTGTCGGGTCTCCTTCTGTCGCTCAGGCTGGTGTGCAGTGACATGGTCTCAGCTCAGTGCGGCCTCAAACTCCTGGGCCCAAGTGACCCTCCAGCCTCAGCATCCAGAGTAGTTGGGACTGCAGGCAGTCTCCAGCCACCCTACCCAGCTAATTTTAAAACATTTTTGTATAGACCATGTCTCGCTCACTATTGCCCAAGCTGGTCTTGAACTCCCTTTGTTCAAGTGATCCTCCTGCCTCAGCCTCCCAAAGTGTTGGGATCACAGGCGTGAGCCATAACAACTGGGTTTCCTTGCTGTTTTTCAAGTGCTCAGTACGTTTTCTCTTTGACATCTCTGAGTAGAGAGTGCAGAGGACAGGGGAAGGAGAGCAAGAGGAGCAACAAAAAGGAAGGGTGGTCCCATCCTTGGGCCGTGGGGCAGCACTGCCTCACAACCTCTGGGCAGACTCTGGAGGAAGGGGGCCTTGCTACCCATATACTGGGGCTGGGTCCCACCAGACCTGTTGTGTGAAAGATCCTCTACTAAATTCTAGAAACTGGGATTACAGTTAGTGGAATAGAACGAGCCTTTGAGTCAGCCAGACTTGCCATCCACTCCCATCTCTTCTATCGTGTGCTGTTTAGAATGTTCCTTAACTTTTCTTCTTCCTAAGTTTCTGCCCCTTTGAAATGGAATTAATAATATCTATCGCAAAAGACTGTTATGAGGATACTTAGGGTAAATTATGCTGCACAGTGCATGGCACAAGTCCTCATTTAGAGGAAACTTATTGCAAAACTTATTGCCTTCGTGAAGTACAAGTAAGACCTGGCTGACCCTATGTAGAAAATGAGCAAAGATTGCAGGTTGGTTGAGAAAATATTTCCTCAGAGTGTGCCATGTTGGACATGTTGTGTGAGGAAATCCCAGAGATCTCCTTCCCTTCAGCAGTGTTGGGTGGGACACATGGTGGATGGCTCAGCCGGCTTCCAAGGGCACTTCTGGTTCTAGAATCAGATGCTCACTTCTTCACAGTGCTCTGCCCAGAGTCTATGCAAAGCCATTTGCTGGCCTCCTTGAAAACTTTTAGTACAATGACTCCTACAGATTCAGTCCAGTAGCTGCTAAGTTGAGAGAAGGACAAGGATGGCTGATGTGACTGAATTTGAATCTGAGTAGATATGGGGTCTTGGCCAGACTGAATGGGTTAAGCAGCATCTCTGGTCATCTGTAGTCAGGGACTTGATGATTCTCTGGTCTGATCTTTATCCACCCTCCTAATCCCTACCCCCAGGGCAGTCCCAGCCCCTTAGAGAATAAAGGAATCGTAGAAGCACCTTATAATGTTACTTATAAGGACTTCAGAGCCTTTAACTTAAGGGTCATCCTTAACAGGTGAGGAATCGAGCCCCAGAAGGGTAAGAAGTGACTTGTCCAAGTTAATGGCAGAATTAGGCCTAGCACACAGTTGTCCTTCCCCTCCATTGTGATTCCATCTATAACTCTTGCAGAATAGAGATGATACAATTTAAATCTGACTGTATTTACTTTTTTCCTTGGGAGTTCATTACAATTACATTTAACAAACAGGTTGTGATATAATTATTTCCATGTTTCATTTTTTACCCATGTTAAAAAAATTCCCAGTTTGTATCAGCTGAGGTTAAAGCTGTTATTGGTTAAATATTTCCAATTTAAACAATCTCTGGAATAATGTTAAATTGCACCATCTACAAAACTGACCTTGAGGCTACTCTGTTTGGCGGGGGTGGAGTGGAAGTGGAGGAAATGAAAAGAGCTTGCAAATGCATTCTTAATGTTTTCAAAATATATGTGATGATGCAGGAAAAAATATTCAGTAAATGTATATTCAGTAAATGTTTCTTTCATTCAGCATTCATTGCTGCCCCCTCTGTGCTAGGCACTTTAGAAGGTATAGCCACTCAAGTCATAAAGATGGTCACTATCCATGGCCATTGGCTACTCATGAGCAAGGCTGCAGCTGTAAGAATTTGTTATGGGACAAGTTGAATAACAGTCTGAGGCATTTATTCCCACTACTCAATACCTTGTCTTAAAACCCACTATTTCCTCCAATGCCAAATTACCAACATTTTTTCAAATATTTGAAATATGAAACTCCCTTAACAATATTGAAAAAAGCTTCTTTTATTCAAGCAAAACAGTGTAGTTCCTCAGAAGTGGTAGCTTGTCTGATATCTGATGATTAATTCAGTGAACAAATGAGTTTGCCAGCAGTTTTGAAAGCATAGTGATAAATTAGTATTTGCAAAGTGCTTTCATCCACATCGAAGTAATGTAAAACTTGGTTGGTCTGCAAAGCGATAGAATTTGAAATGCATGTGAATACAAAAAGCAAAGTTGCAAAGGGAAGAGGAGAATCTATTCAAGTTTACTAAATTGCTATCTGTTTTGATAAGGTAATTGGCCAGAAAATTAAATGCACTGTGGAGAACAAAGCTTTTTTTCCATAGTCTGGTACAGCCAAATGTCATTTTCATCCAGTATGCACAGGGATATAAGGAACAAATAAGTAGGCAAAAAAAAAAAAAAAAATTACAGGAAGAATAAGCTCAACAAAAAGTAATAGGGCTATTTAAAGCACAGATTGATGTTTACATTTGAATCTTTGGTATTGAGCATGTGATATAAAACATTGCCTTCTCCTTGGGTGCTTTCTGGGAACATTTCATTCTCTGGAATCCAGGTTTTTAATAAAGTGAGAAGAATTCTATATTATGGTATATATAAGGAGATCTGGGTTCTCATCTCGATTCTACAACACAGACAACCAACTGGCTAACCTGTTCTTCAAATTTCCTCATCGGTAAAATGAAGGGTAGAGTACATCATTCTTTAATAATTCCAGCTGTAAAATCAGAGTGTTAAATCTCACATTTTCTCAGCATGTCTGAAATAAAGGGAGAGGGTTAAGTTTGATAGGATTCTTAAACTTTAGTAGAAGTTTACATGGATCCCTGTTTTGAGAAGTCATAAACAGGAGTAAGCTTCTTCCTTATTCTCCCCAGCTTATTTGGTTGTTTTTGAAGCATGATAAAAACAAGGGTTGGAGGAAAGAAAGAAAATGGTTAAAGGAGCGCCTAAAATTCTTTAAATAAATTTTGGTGAAACACATTTGAAGGGGTTGCATTTGAATCCCATCCACTCTGGCCACAATCTGTGTGAACTTAAGAAATCACTTAATATTTTTTCAGTCTTAGTTTCCCTATCTGAACAAGGGGGACATTATTATATCACCTAGTAGGGTTTTATAAGTATAAAATTTTCAATAATAAAATGCTTGGCATATAATAAATGGCAGCTATTGTTATTAAGACTGTCTTTCTAGTAACTAATTACCTTTATATGATTTGCCTCCATTTCAGAAGAAGATTTGGGGCAGCTTTCAAAAACAATAAACACAGAATGCGATGTGCACCAACTAGGGATAGACACGCTTGAAGCTCTGACACGAGGGGGAAGAGGGGGCAAGGGCAATATACGTGACCTTAACATTTGTACCCCCACAATATGCTGGAAAATAATAATAATAATAATAAACAATAAACACAATTAAGTAATAATAAGCAAGGAAATCTGGTGGAGGGAATATAAGGATAGCAAAGATGGTATAAAGCAAGGATTTAACTAATTTTGAGAATTGTCACTTCAGAGGATGACAGGTTTGGTTTTTCTTCCTAACAGATATGACATCAAGGCTCTTATTGGGACAGGCAGTTTCAGCTGGGTTGTCAGAGTAGAGCAGAAGACCACCAAGAAGCCTTTTGCAATAAAAGTGATGGAAACCAGAGTGAGGGAAGGCAGAGAAGTGTGTGAATCTGAGCTCTACGTCCTGAGGCGGGTTCGCCATTGTTACATTGTCCAGCTCCTGGAGATCTTTGAGGCCCAGGATCGAGTTTACGTGGTGATGGAGCTGGCGACAGGAGGGGAGCTCTTCGACCGACTCATTGCTCAGGGATCCTTTACGGAGGGAGACGCCGTCAGAATCCTCCGGATGGTTGCTGACGGCGTTAGGTATTTGCACACGTTGCAAATCACTCACAGGGACCTAAAGCCTGAAAATCTCTTATACTATCATCCAGGTGCTGAGTCAAAAATTTTAATCACAGACTTTGGTTTGGCACACTCTGGGAACAAAAGAGGTGACTGGATGATGAGGACACTCTGTGGGACCCCAGAGTACATAGCCCCTGAGGTTCTGCTGAGGAAACCTTATACCAGTGCAGTGGACATGTGGGCTCTTGGCGTGATCACGTATGTTTTACTGAGCGGATTCCTGCCTTTTGATGATGAAAGCCATGCAAGACTTTACAGGAAGATTCTGAAAGGCAAATATCATTACACAGGAGAGGTAAGAGATCGTTATGTTGTTCCTGTTGTGTTGGCCTAGAGTTGGGTTTGTCACCTTGCCACTGTTGACATGTGAGGCTAGATGGTTCTTTACTGGGGAGGGGGGCTGTCCTGTGCACTGTAGGATGTTTAGCAGCATCCTTCACCTCTACCCACTGGGTACCAGTAACACACCTCCCCCAGTCGTGAGACCCACAAACGTCTCCAGGCATTGTTAAACGCCCTCTGTAGGGCAGAATTGCCCCGAGAGCCATTGGTCTCAAGGTAGCAAGGGCCTTGGTGACTCAGCTGCTTGTAGTTAGCACATGACATTGATGATCAAGTGGATGCGTGGGTTTGTCTACAGTGTGTTCTGTAATCAGTATGCAGAGCCTGAGCTTGTCGCCTAAAACCCATGTGTACTGAGAAGCTCAGCATGATGGTTGGGTGTTTGGCGAGAGATTTGCTCCCTAAAATCTGGATGATCCAAGCCCTCTTTGTGATGTAGTGTTTTCACAGTGGAATGTTTAATCTCACAGCTTGTGTGAAATATTTACCCATTATTTAAACTTGCAACTCCCAGTGTTCATGAATGTGTTGACTTTTTGTTGTTTTGGGTAGGGAGGGAAAGTTGCCAATGCTTGTGTGTGGGAAGCCTGACAAGATAGGAAATTTGTTTCATGTAGAGCAAATGAGCTCATTTATTTTACTTTTAATTTCTCATAAAAATATTGATGGTTTGATTATAGCTACTTAAAATGTAACATCTGTAGGTACAGCAACAACATAAGTGAAATTAATTAAATAACAAATTTAAATATAATATTTTCTATATCTGGCAGACCTTTTGTACCTTTATTGTACATGTATATGTTTTTAAACATGGCAGGTTAGGGCTCCCAAAAGGGAATATTCCAAGAGGGAGATATGGAGGCTGCCAGTCCTCTTCATGGCTGGACTTGGAAATAGCACAGTCTCCCTTCTGCCTCATTCTAGTGGTTATTAGGAGTCCTGGGTCAACCGTAAGTCAATTCTGGAGGGAGCCACACAGAGTGTGGCTATTGGGGGTGTGGTCCATTGGGGCTGTATTTATACTAGATATTACAATTAGTTTTTTCTTGTGAAATAATAATATATTCTGTTAAAAACTCCTTTTGTTAGGTTTACTTCAGAGGGTTCCTTGAAACAACCCTGAGAAGATTCTGGTGCAAGTGATTTATTATGAAGAGATTCCCAGGGTTTTACAGGTTTGGGGTGGCCATTCCCCTTTCTAGCTGCTTCCTGCAATGCTCGAGGAGCAACCAAGGTAGAAAGGCACAGCAGATGGTGGAGAAGGGATGGAAGAGAACAAAAATTTCCTTCCCACTGTGCGAGGGAGGCCCTCACTTGTCTGCTTGATTAGCAATGCCATCTCCACGGCTTTCTGCAGGGTGGCAGAGCTCTGCTGGAGACAGTGGGTAAAGGACTCATCCTGAAGACTGTTTGAGTGCCTCTTTCTGTGGTCCCCACCCCTTTCTTCTAACCAGGCCAGGAATTTTGCTCAGCTCTAGGGATACTCACATGAAAAAATGCTCAGGGTCCCCACTCTAGGGTTCTAGTGGTTTTGGCTGAGAAACCAAGTATTATTACATATTTCTTCAAATATAAGTGCTTTAATACAAGTAGGAACAAAGTCTCAAAGTCCACAAGAGAAATGGAAGAGAACCTATCATTGCTTAGGAAAGTTGGGGCAGATTCCATGAAGAAGGCCACAGTTGTGCTGTCTTGGAGGAAGGGTAGGAGTTTCTAGAAGAGGAGATTAACATATTCTAAATAGAACAAGATATGCAAAAGCATGTAAAAGGGAATAAATCGACTAGTGAAACATAAGAGTTTTAGAGCTCATGGGCATGCACATGTGTGCACGTGTATGTATACATGCATGTGTGTTGATAATGAGGATTTTGAAAAGCAGTGTAAGATAATGGTTAAGAACACAATTGGGACCAATACTGGCTGGATTCCATTAACAGCTCTGCCATTTACTAAATAACTTTGGGCATGTTTTCAAATTTCTCTGTATCTCAGTTTCTGCATTTGTAAAGTGGTAATCATGATGGTATGTACCTAACAGGGTTGTTGCAAAGATCAAATGAGCTAATAGATATAAGTGCCAAGAAGAGTTTCATATATTAATACATATAGAATCAGTGTTATATAGAAATGCTATTGTCACTATTAACATGGGAGACTGGGACTGAAAGTTTGAATTTTGCTTAAGCAAATTATTAGTTTATGGGTTTATTTTTGCAGTACAAACTTCATTTATCAAGTGTACCTTTTTCATCTTTTAAATGCAGTAGTGAGAAAAGCATGGTGTTAGAATTTTAACACTAATGACAAATTATAAGAATTCTAACCCATGAGCTGGGAATCATTTATTCTTGTCTAATTATATTCTGCTGTATCACAGTAGTCTCTCTTTTTTGGGGGTATGAAATAAATTGATAATAAAATGGGTCTTATAACCATATCAGCCAGCTGACAAGGATAGATAGTGATATTAAAATCATATTTTTAAGCCAGCCTGGTGGCTCATGCCTGTAATCCCAGTACTTTGGGAGGCTGAGGTGGGAGGATTGCTTGAGGCCAGAAGCTTGAGGATGCTGTGAGCTGTGATCATGCCCTCCTTAAATATATTTAAGATTAACATTTTCATTTTCTTCTTTTTATGAACACCAATTAATGGGGCTAATGTAGACACTGCCCCAGGCCAGCCTCATAACCGATCATAAAAGAAACTTTAAGAAGATAAAAATAAAATAGAAGTTCATTTTCTTCCTTTTCTAATATGTAATGTGAAATCGATTCCTAGATATTCTCCAGTTGTTCTTTATGGCTCAGGAATTCTGTAATTTATAACTTGTGTTTGAATAACAAACTTTGGCTGAAGAGCTTTTTTTCCAGCACACCAGTTACTTTATTTCTTTCAACTGCATTTTAAGCATATATTCATTTGGGGTCATCTTAATGAGCTCTCCATAAACCTCACTGCACATATTTTATATTCTTTTCAGAAAGATTCAGTGGCTTATCTTAAAATGTTCTAGGGAGCCATCTAATTTAACCTTCATTTAAATAGTCTTGAGCTTAGTTAGATAAATGTGTCTGGATTCAGGGCCAAGTAGATGTCTAGCCAGAACTAGAAGGCGTGCCGCTGTGAGTGTTAGCCCCTGATGTACTTTGTCTAGACTTGCAGAGTTTACATTTTATTTTTCCCATGTTTGAATATTTAGCAAGTTTGCTCATTTATTTCATGACTTTATTTCTGGAATAAAAAGTTCTCTTTTGCCAAAATAAACTGAAGGAAAAAAAAGAAGTGTAGTTCTTTTGCTGGTTTCTTTTTATGCAAATTCTGGGTTAATTTGGGTGTGGTCCCAGCTACTTGGGAGGGTGAGGCAGGAGGATTGATTGAGCCCAGGAGTTCAAATTCACCCTGGGCACCATAGGTAGCAAGACCCCATCTCTACAAAAAAAAAAAAAAAAAATTGGGGGGTGAGATTGGAGAATGTGATGTCTATGTACGAACTCTGATTTTTTCCTTATACAACGGCAAAGACACTAACTAGGTGGTAAGGATTCCCTTATCTTTCCTGGGAGATAACATTAAAAAAATACAACAACACATCAACCAGAAATTGTATGTAAGATATAGCAAATGTACGGGCAATTTTTTCAATAATTCTCCTTTGTAGAGGACAAGAGTTAACAAAACTAATTTTTTCTAGGTATGTGCTATATGTTGGTAGTGTTGACCTAAAGAAAGAAGCTGAGGCACAAAATATAATTTTAAAGAGTTTTCTTGAGCCAGAGTGAGAGCTGGCAGGGAAACACTTCCCGGTTGCGTTGGGAAGTGTTCCATTTGGCCTTTGTTACATGGCAGGGTTTTAAAGGCAAAAGGGAACAAGGAACGGGCTGATATAAAATTGTTTGACAGGAATTCTTACTGGTTTACAAAAATAACATGCATTAGTGATGGGCTATATCTTTTTGAACCATAGGGTATATGAGTTATGGCGTCCAGGGCATGGCATTTTATGGCTGTTGGGTGTCTGTTAGTCTAGAGCCCACATAGCGAGCTAATTATTTAACTCAAGGAGGGAGCTGATGTGACTGCTATTGCATTTCTATGCCGCTCTGCTGGATAATTTAAAGGGGCTAGAATTCCTCAGATAAGAAGTCTTTTTTCTTTCTCAGTGGGTAATGCAGAAAACAAGTTTGAGTATAAAGCAACAGCCCTCATGCTCCCAAATGCCACTATGAATTACAGCTATTGTGCTTAAAGGATGTGCAACTGCTGTCAATAGTGCCAGAATAAGTTCCTGAAGCATCAAATACTTAGCTGTGCATACCGTGCTGTGTCAGAGCTCCCTAACATGCTGAACCCCATCTGCACTCACCTGGTGGGCAGCGGCTGGGCCCTGTGTGTTTGAGGAAGGGCGCTGGGGAGCATCTCTGGCTCACAGGCCCTCGCTGTCCTTCCACTTCTCTCCCCAGAATGTGGAGATGGAGGCATCCTAAGTCCACAGGAAGCTTTCAAAGGGAGAGAAAAGATGATTTCTGAATCTATTCCGCTTTCAACTTCCACTCTATCTCACTCTCAAAGTCACAGGGACTCAGCGAGATGACCACAGTGTGGTGAACGCTAACCTGATATTATTGATGTGGTTCATCGAAAACTGCTGCTTTGCCTTGTCTAGCTCCTGTAAATGTGATGTGGGGACGACAGCAGGCTGGACGGATTTCTGGAAAGGAATTCTCGCTCATTGGGCAGAGAGTCTGGAAGAAAATTTCTGTGTTTGTGTTTGCCTTTTCTTTTGCTAAAGAGTTTTTTTTTGTTTGTTTTTTTTTTGCTTCCCTCAAAAGTGAATTTTCAGGTTTTCTATGTATTTCATGATACAGCATTCAAATTGCTTATTCAAAAACATTTTTTTTGATTTGATAGGAATTCATCTATTTAATTAAGAATATACTTCTTTGTGTGTTTGTTTTTATTTTATTCAAATTTATTCGTTTGTTTTTCTTCTCAGCCTTGGCCAAGTATTTCCCACTTGGCGAAGGACTTCATAGACAAACTACTAATTTTGGAGGCTAGTCATCGCATGTCAGCCGACCAGGCCCTGGAGCATCCGTGGGTGGTCACCAGGGCTGCGGGGTCTTCCATGAAGAATCTTCAGAGAGCCATTTCCCGAAACCTCTTGCGCAGGGCGTCTCCTCTCTCTCAGAGTCCCGGATCTGCACAGTCTTCTAAGTCATGTTATTCTCACAAATCAAGGCATATATGGAGCAAGAGAAACTTAAGGATAACAGAATCACCACCATCTCTACCTTTGTAAACAGATGGCCTCTAAAACCATTTTACCCAATTTTAAGGCAGATCCATTAACTTCATTAGTAGCATTAGTTTGTAGGGGCCATTTCATCATGATTAGGACACTCTAAATCTCCAAGGACAGGTAGTATTGTCCAATAATGTTGACTTTCACTTTTAACATTTTTTGATCTATAATTTTTCCTGTACCTATATTCATTTTCCCAGAAAATGTGGCTACAGAAGATTAATAGTATAGTATTAGTTACATTTAGATAACTGGAAACAGTAGATAAAGAAAATTTCTTAAGTATTGAATGAATTAAATAAAACACGATACTGTAGGAATAAGGGATATGTATTGAAAGAATGATGGGCAGGGCACAGTGGCTCACGCCTGTAATCCTAGCACTCCGGGAAGCCGAGGCAGGTGGATCGCTCAAGGTCAGAAGTTGGAAACCAGCCTAAGCAAGAGCAAGACCCTGTCTCTACTAAAAATAGAAAGAAATTTATTGGCCAACTATATATATAAAAATATATAGAAAAAAATTAGCAGGGCATGGTGGCACATGCCTGTAGTCCCAGCTACTCTGGAGGCTGAGGCAGAAGGATCACTTGAGCCCAGGAGTTTGAGGTTGCTGTGAGCTAGGCTGACACCATGGCACTCACTCTAGCCTGGGCAACAAAGTAAGACTCTGTCTCATAAAAAAATAAATAAATAAAAAAGAAAGAAAGAATGATGAATCACAGACATAGGAAACATAGTTAGATATGGGAAATAAATGTATTTATCCTGAAATTACTGATTTATATTTTAGGTACAGTATACAGTGTTAACTAGTAACACTCAACATAGTTACAAGTGTCTGTTAATTTCACATTTAGTCTGTAAATATTTATGGAAAACTGTTAATTATAGGATATACAAAGAACCGTAAGATACAGTTTCTTTTCATGGGAAAAGTATAGTCTAATAGGGGCACTATTCACTGGAAAATGAGGATTTTGCAGAATCGGATAATAGTAATTTTTTTTTTAGTGTTAGCATTCACCACCTACCTGTGTTTACAAAAGAGTGTGTGATCATGTTTTTGTTTTGCTACTGTCAACTCTTTCTGGTAAGCACTCGTTTTTTATAGAATTATTTAATCAAATATCTTGACTATAAATACTCAGTATGAAATTTTTATAGAGAGTGTCTTAAAAAGAAGTAAGTTCCAAAACTCGGTTCTCCAGGCAAAGCACATATAGCCTGATCCCGGTACAGTAAATTTTTGTAAAATGACATAAAGACTAAAATATTATTAATTATATCTGTGGGTCACTCATATGAATGGATAAATATAATAAATAAATGATTCATTAGTTGATAATGCTTAATTTATTTCATTAAGTACAATAATAAAATTCTAGAGTGACATTTACTGTAACTATAAAATCAGTCATAATTTTTTCATTTTATTTTTCTCTTTTAGGCTATGTATACGTGAAACAGTTATAAATGTGGTACATAAATGTGAATGTGTAGTTAGTGACACAAAAATTTTTTGTGTGTCACTATATCACCCATGCTGGAGTGCAGAGGCCCAAACAAAGCTCACTGCAGTCTTCATCTCCTGGACTCAAGCAATCTTCCCACTTTACCTTCCTGAGTAGTTGGGACTACAGACCCATGTAACCATGCCTTGCTGATTTTCTTTTTTCATTTTTTGTAGAGATGGGGTCTTGCTATGTTGCCCAGGCTGTCTTGATCTCTTGGCCTCAAGCAAGCCTCCCATCTTGGCCTCTCAAAGTGCTGGGATTACAGGAGTGAGCCACTACACTCCCCCTTCTGCACTTCTATTTGGATTTTCTTTTTATTACAGTCTTGAAGTAAAAATACATCAGTTTCCAAATTTTTGAGGTAGAAATAGGTGTAAAATGAAAAGTAAACCTTTCCCTCCCACTCCAGACTTCTTATTCTTTTTTCCCCCAGAAATAAGCACTATCTTTGTCAAATTCTTACCAACCTTTGGAGCTTTTGAACATATTTTTTTCACACGAAGATCATACTATAAAACTCCTCTGCACCTTGCTTTTCTATTTAACATAGTATCATGCAACATAACATATGGATTTACTGCATCATTTTTAATGCCTGCATAGTAGATCTTTGCTTAGATATAATACACTTTTAGCGATTCCCCTACTGATAGACATTTATTTGTGATTTCTATTTATATAAATAATAATTTATTTTATTTTTTTAAATAACAATATTTTTGCACCTTTGCACATATGTATTTGCACACTTTGGCAAGAATATGTGTAGGACAAATTTCTGGAAATGACACTATTAGGTCAAAGGTCAATACATTTTTGAGTAGATATTGCTGCTAAACTGTCCCCACACCAGATGGCACCAGATCGCACTCTCCTCTAAGCAGTACATGAGAGTGTCTGCAACCTTCTACTGTATGTATTATCCAAATTTTAAATTGTTTCAATCTGATAAGTAAAAAGATATTGTTTTTCAAATTTTTCATTTTCTTTGTCATTTTAATTTTAATTTTGTAAATTATGAATGAGACTGAGCATTTTTTTCACATACTTATTAGCCATCTGTATTTTTATGAACTACCTGTCAAAATAGCTGCTCATTTTTCTATATTTTTCCTATGAATTTTAAGTGTTCTTTCTATATTAAAGGAAATAGCCTGTGATCTGACATGTACCATATGATGTAGCAGTATCGCATGTATCTGTCATGTATCACGTGAGGCAGGAAGAGCTCTTTTATTTTTTAATAATTTTTCCTTTTATTTCCTCATATTATGGGGGTACAAATATTGTTAGGGTTACATATATTGCCCCTGCCACCCCTCCCCCACCCCGCCATGCCAGAGCTTCAAGCATGTCCAACCCCCACGTGGTACACACTGCACCCATTATGTAAGTAGACACCTTTCTCCCTCCTCTCCCCTGCCACCTGCCCACCTCCGGATAACAGGGTTTTTTTTAGACATTTTGGTCACATTGTATATTTTTGTCTCTCTCTAAAAGGGTTAGAGGTAATCCCTTCCTCCCCTACAATGCTCATCACATCCCTAAGATGTGGGTCTCTCCCTCCCCCCCCAATCCCTGGCATACACCATATTTGAGCACCATAGTTTTAATCAGTCAGTACCAATTTGATGGCGAGTAGATGTGTAGCCCATTTTCCAGATCTTGTGTTGCCTCGCTTTGTATAACGGGCTTAAGCTTAATCCAGGATAGCATAAACAGTGCTAGTTCACTGTCATTTCTTAGAATTGAGTAATATTCCATTGTGAGCATATACCACATTTTAGTTATCCACTCATGAATTGATGGACACTTGGGTTGTTTCCATGACCGCGAATAGTGAATTGTGCTGCCATATAACATTCAGGTGCAGATGTCTTTATAATAAATGTCTTATGCCTTTTTGGGTAAATGCCAACAATGGTATTGCTAGGCGGAATGGATTTTTCTGCTTTTTGGAGGTATTCAATTTCTTTCAAAAAGTTGCCTAATTGCAGTCCACCAGCAATGTAAGAGTGTTCCTGTCTCTCCATGTTGTTTTGGTATTTCTTGATACAGGCCATTCTCACTGGGGTTAGGTGGTATCTCATTGTGGTTTTGATTTGCATTTCTCTAATGATTAGAGATGTTGAGTTTTTTTATATGTTTGCAGCCATATTCTGTCTTCTTTGGAGAATTTCTGTTTTTCATTGCCATTTTTTGAGGGGTGTTTGATTTTTTTCTGTTTATTCTTTTAAGTTCTAGATAGATTCTTGTTATTAGACCTTTATCAGAAGTGTAGAGAGCGAATATTTTCTCCCACTCTGTGGGTTGTCTATTTGCTCTAATGATAGTTTCCTTGTTGTGCTGAAACTTTTTATTGATCAGATCCCATTTGTTAATTTTTGATGTGGCAGTAATGCCTTGGGGGTCTTCCTCAAAAGTTCTATAAATGCAATACACTTCATAAATAAAATCAAGAACAAGACCATATGATTCTCATAGGCTGCAAAAAAGCATTTGACAAAGTCAACATACCTTTATGATAAAGATTCTTAACAAAATAGGCATAGATGGCCCATATCTTAAATTTATCAAATCTATTTATGACAAACCCACTGCTAATATCATCCTAAGTGGGAAAAATTGAAATCATTCCCTCTTCAAACAGGGACTAGACAAGGATGCCCACTATCTCCTCTCCTATTCAACATAGTGGTCGAAGTCCTAGCTATAGCAATCAGACAAGAGAGGGGTATTAAGGGCATACAAATGGGGGCAGATGAGATCAAACTCTCACTCTTCGCCGATGATATGATATTATACCTAGAAAACCCCATGGATTCATCCAAGAGACTCCTAGATTTGATAAATGAATTAAGTAAAGTTTCAGGTTATAAAATCAATATACACAAATCAGAAGCATTCATATATGCCAAGAACCATCAAGCAGAAACCATCAAGCAAAAATGCAATACCCTTTACTATAGCCCCAAAGAAAATTAAATATCTAGGAGTCTACTTAATGAGAGAGATGAAAGATTTATACAAGGAGAACTATGAAACACTAAAAAAAGAAATTGCAGATGATTTAAACAGATGGAAAAATCTACTTTGTTCATGGATTGGTAGAATCAATATGGTTAAAATGTCAATATTACCTAAGGTGACCTACAGAATCAATGCAATCCCCATCAAAATACCACTAGCATTCTTTACAGATCTAGAAAAAATAATTCTTCACTTTGTATAGAACCAAAGAAAACCACGTATAGCCAAAGCAATCTTAAGTAAAAAGAACAAACTGGGAGGCATCAGTCTTCCTAACTTCAAGCTGTACTGTAAAGCAATAATAGTTAAATCAGCCTTGTACTGACACAAGAACAGAAGCATCAATATTTGAAATAGATCTGAGATACCAGAGATGAAACCATCAGTATACAGTAATCTAATCTTTGATAAAACAGACAAAAATATCCAATGGAGAAAAGATTCTCTCTTCAATAAATGGTGCTGGGAAAACTGGTTAGCAACATGTAGAAGAGCAAATCAGGATCCCAACTTCTCACCTCTCACAAAAATTCATTCAAGTTGGATAACAGACTTAAACCTAAGGCATGAAACCCTAAGAATCCTAGAAGATGATGTTGGGAAAACCCTATCAGATATTGGTTGAGGCAGGAGGAGCTCTTGAGCTCAGGAGTTCAAGGTTGCAGTGAGCTATGATGGCCCCACTGCAGCTGGGTGACAGAGTGAGACCCTGTCAAACAAACAAACAAAAGCTGTTGCCAAATGGGAAACAATTGAAAAGGGAGAAGCTTGAATAAGCAGCCCTAGAAGAATTGGGGGTTAAGTAATCAGATGTGAAAACTAGTTCTTTTTAACTGGGTAT